GTCCGCACAACAAAAATGTCTACACAAAGGTATGGGTGTTTAGTAACATAACAAGAGCCAAAATAACAAACAGAAGTTTTCAACAGATAGGACACTTTCAAAAAGAATGCCAAAAGAATGAACGTAGTCCAATTAGGGTCTTTCACGGAAATATTTCTGTTCAAAGAACACATGACAGTGTCAGGGCGTCTAACATTTTCATGAACCACAGCAGGAATGTGTCAGAATATATTTGATTTTTTTTAACATTGATATGTTTTTTTCTAACATTCACGCGCCCCGTGGATTAGACAGGAGACACTAAAACTGGTGTTCAGCCACTCACACTCACTGTTTTACATACAATTCCCTGTCTCACACAACAAAGGCCACACACAATTATAGCAGGAACCTATACTCTGAAGCTGGACGCAGCAAATACACTCACACGTTGCAAAAATCTACAAAATAAATGTATGCCACAAGTATTTGATTTTGCATGTGAAAACATAAATCGAGTTTTGCTTCGATTTACTACAGTGTGATAAACTGTACTGCAGGGAAACCCTGAAATGTGTCAGCTCTAAAAGCTTTCCATTTTACAGTGAAATCTACTAAAAAGGAAAGTCTGAACATTTGTGCAACAAGCTTGCTGGCATTTTCATTCCAGGATAAAGAGGCTACTGACAATGGATGGGTGGGATACCAATCTGTGACACTAGATTTTAAACATTATTCATGGTTAGGAGAATTTAGAGTCTCTTTTTTCGTCTCTTTGTACTGCAGTAATTCTGTGCCATTTGCACTGCAGATTAAGAATAACAGAGGGGTGGCATACTTGTTTATCCACATTTACAAACTATTCAAATATCTGTGCGAAAGAGGGGAAACTGCACCTCCTATATCACCCTTCATTATGCTCGTTACTAAGTATCTTTGATAGACCCACGCCTTCCAGTGTGGAAAGGAAGAAATACCCACTCTGCGTTTCAAATGCAATCACACTGACAATATCGGGATCGATCACAATAAGCAGCAGATGGGATTCTCAACTTGTGGCCTTTTAAAATGCGAGAAATGTTTGGTGTCCTTTTTTTTTACGGCTCTCTTGATGTTAATTGAACTGGGTTCTTTGACTCAAACAAACAAGAGATTATGTTAAGGAGACCAGGCGACCGCCCTGAATGTTTAGAATGTGGATTTAACCAGAGAGCCAGCGTGAGGCGCTGACCGTACAGCCACTGATGATCTATCAATGCATATTAAGCGGGCTTGTGAGCAGCTGAATTTGTGTAGAAGAAATACCATGAAAAAGACGTCTTTCTTAATAAAAAAAAAACAGCAAAGCAGTGCGTTAGGTGCAGAGATTGTTCTCCCCTTTGACATGTAGTGGAGGCATCAAAGCCAGATCCTAAGAGACCTTTCCCAGCTTCCTCCGTTTCTCCCTGCAGACCTCGAAATTAAGGAATGCCGCGTCATACAAACCATCCCCACAAATCGAGTCATTGAACTTGGTGGCTTGTTCCCCCAAAGACACCCCACAGCTCCCAATACCCACACCTAAAAACCTTGGAATGAGCACCATAGGACACAAGGCAGATCACCAGTTTGCCTCCTGTGTGAAACACCAGACCAGCGCCAGTGGGGAAAACTTCTGGCCTTCCTACAGTTCCGTCAGCCTGCCATCAAACCGCAGTTACTGACGCGCAACCCCCTCATCTCTGTACGTATCCTCTTACAAGGTGCACATTGTGGAAAAGTAGCAACGTGTATGTAATAACCTGTCAAATGGGCAATGAAGGAACATAGGATCGAAGAGAGCAATAAGACCCACGATAAAAGAGCACGTTGCAATAAACAGTATAAAAAATGGATGAACCAATGGTACTCCACTTTACATCAGTTCTAAAGCGTCTTAGAATTATTAGCTTAACAGAGGCAACATCATTAGGCAGAACCCTACGTATCCACACAAAAGACATAAACCCACTGACAGGCTGGTCTCCACACCTCCTCAACGCCATTATTACACCATCGCGGAGCTCGGAAAACCTGCCACGGGAGGCGAGCAAAGATTATTCTAGAACCTTTAGAAAAATAATTACAAACTTATTTGACGCTTAAGTTTTGCTGTCAACAAAAAGGAACCATGCCATCGAAAATAAACTCCACCGCTCCGACTGAAACGCGCGGCCTTGAGAAAATATACAGTATAGCACATGAAAATACTCCAACGTATGTACGTGTGTGTGTGTGCGCGCACACGTATAATGTATATCCCTCACTCACAAATAAAGGTCTCTACAGAGCAGTTTAATAGGACAGGGGGCTACACTCTACAGCAGTACTCTTTGCAGGCTCACACTCGGGAAACATCAGCCCGGCTTCGTGTCATAAGGTTGGTGCACCTAGGGCACCTCGCTCAAGCCGGGCTAAGACAGCCGCCATGTCCTCAAACCGGTTTATCTCCCCGCTTGTTTTCACTGGCATAAAACCGACACAAGCGGTGTCCTGACGTCTCGGAAAGAAGCAGGTATAGATCACGGAGAAGAGCAAGAGGAAAATTCCTCTTGCAACACTGTAGTCGACTGCGTATTGCGGGCCGTTGTTTTTTTTTTTTTGCACCGTGAGGAGATAAGGGCAATACATTTTAAACTGTCACAGAAAGATGAGATCGGCATTTGTAACCCTTTGCTAGCTCAAATGATTGTATAGGCCTAGTAAGCATAACTTAAAATCGTTATGAATCCTTTGGAAGGGCACATAATTAAAACCAGTAATTTAAGTGGGAAGCACGGTTAATTATTAGGAATGCAAAGTAAATGACAAAAGTGGGCACGTTCTTTAACGCAAGTCCACAACACAATGGTTAGTGAAACATCATAAAAGCTTTTTAAGAAATATTGGATTTTTCAGGCGAGAATTTGCTATTGAATAGCAGTTAAATTCACGTACACTTTTCTTGATAAAATGCCCAGAATTTGCCGTTACTAGTACAAGAATAGTTACAACCCATGCAAGTGTATTCGCTGAACACGCTTCTGAAGGCCAAATAATACTGTGACGAGCGCATACCGATTGAAATACTACAAGCACACGTACATTCCCTGGACATCTGAAAGGAGCTTTTAAGAAGCTGCAGTTATTCCTATCACACTGACGCCGACTGCTTCCTAATACTGTATTACACAAATTCTCACACAACCCCGAGTGGCAGAGTTCAGGTGCTTCTCCGCTAATAAATTTTCTTTAATGTCAGATTTCGCGCTTTTAAAGAAAAAAAATAGCCTAATTCGACTCAGGCTGCATTAAAAACATGAAGGTCGACGGCAGGTTAGTGTCATGTTCAATTGATTCGCCGTTAAACATGTATGAAAGTGCTACCGGATTAATAAAATATGTAACATTCTGATTACACTGTCAAAGTACTGTGGGTATTTTTTTATCACGGTTTCTTGAAATTTGATTCCAACGTTACTTTTCTGGTCTACGACGCTCTGTTTACTGTAAAATATGTAAGTAATGTGTTCTTAAACTCGCCTCTAAAGGTTATTTTGCCATCACAAAAGAGGCAATTAAGAACAAAGCAAACAGCTCTGTGACATATAATTTTACTTTCTCCACTTATAAATATCACTGTTGACTTACAACAAAAGCTTACAATACCTTTACAGAAGAAAAACAAAACGTTTCCAGAAAGGAATGGATACTCAACCTGTTATATGATTAGGGTTTGAGTTTTTAAAACAAACTACAGTGCAAGACCATAAACCCAGCTTTGCTGTGTGATTTATTTTTCTTTTAATTCAATGTTACCAACTTAACAGTCTCCATTAACTGAGATCGTGTTTTAAAACAAACAGCGAGGTCTGTCATTTTTAATTTCGTAAAACTGCAAAACCACGTTACTGGAGCTCCAGGTTCCTCGAGATCCACATATCACACAATAAATCTACTTATATAAGCGCAGGTGTAAAAATGTACGTGATACCTTTAGTGAAATATACCATACACTATATTATGCAAAACATACACACGAAGTGTTATCGCTCTGTAGCTTTCAGTGTACTTAAACTAGATACCAAAGCCACTTGTTAAACCTAACGCATGCACTGCCAACCCATTCTCACCCTGACACATCACTGCTCAATATAGAAACAGGATTTTCTGGTATTACAGAAGCCTCTATTAGCACAAACCCATCGCACATACCACTGACCCTAATCCCGAACACCCCTGCGCGGACTGCGACAGGCAGACACTCACACCCGCCACGAGCCCCCGGACACCGCGGCCAGCGGCTCGCGGAGCGCGCGCTGCGTCCTGATCGTTCCGAAACAACGCCGAAAACTCACGAAAGGATTCAAGGCGCAGGAAAATCTAATGACTCCCCCCTCAGAAAAAAAAAACTATTGAGGAGGGGGGAATTACGTTTGTAAAAACTAGAATTAGCGCCGGTCGTAGATCTGTAATAAGGTGCTGCTTTAGCTAAGTAGCTAACTTGCACAAAATTATTTTACAGCCTTCTGCTTAAAGGTTCAATTAACATCGGTAATTACTGTATCCGACAGACATGAGCTTTAAGGATGCTTTATTTACCCGCGGTCTGTTCGTTATTTTAAAATGTTGGACTTTTCCCTTTGTCTCATTCTTTTTTTAAGTCTATCTCGCTCCAAACATCCAAGTCGCCTTTTTTTTACGACAAGCTTAAAAGAAACAGAGCAGTAAGCAGTTTCAATAAAATTTAATAATATTGTCTAAAATTAGCACATAAAAATCTAAAGAGTCTGCAGCAATTGCTAATTTCCAAAATGGCCCTACTGTCCAACTAATTTCCTCCTCCAATAAATTACTGTTGGGCTCCGGATCCCTGGGGTTACGGTTAACTAAATACCATACCGAAGGAAACGCAGCCCGAACGGAGCATTAACTTTAAACACAAAAAAAAATCACAACAAAGAGAAGGAAGAACCATTTCCAAAAAGATCCCCTATCAGAAGTCAAATATGTAGTTAACCGACCTGAGTGCGGAGCCATGGGGATGGGGGACGGGTAGTATTTTCCAGGCTGGAAGTGGCCGGGGTGTTGTACGTTGCTGTGGCCGGCTGAAGCTATCCGAGACGCGGCGCGGTGAACCAGCGCGCTCCGCTCAGACAGGAGGTGGGGCGGAGGAGCGAAATCACGGCCTTCCATTGCGTGGAAACGGATAAATCCCCCCAAATCCAACAGGGACACCAAGAAAATGAAACGCGGCCCAGATATTATAATCCCTTTTCAGTGCTTCGGGCGAGTCTTCCTTTCAGTCGATCGCTGGCTTTCCCAGCCGAAAAAGTCGTCGGCGAACATTTTTTTTCTGCAATTGAAAAGCAAAATAGGAGAGTCAGTAAAAACAAAGCAGCAGAACACTGGTTCAAGCACAAATGACAGGGTAGTTTGCTATAATTACCGTGTTAGTGAAATGTGATGCTTTTCTAATACTTTTTATTATGCAAACCCCCCTCGCTGTTTTTATTTTTGTTGTTGTTGTTGTTGTTTTTTTTTTAACTTGGGAAAACAAATATTGTTGACTATGTGTTACAAGTCCGGTAACACGACCGGGAGGGGGGAAAAAAGTTCATTTCTTTTCTTCCCAGAGGTTATGTGCGCCGCGTCTGTGGGAGAGTGAGCGCCGCGAGGGAAAGGAGTCGACATCAGCAACTCTGAAAGGAGAGTGGAACAAAAAACAATCTCACGAATGTTTTACGATTCTCCTGTCATAAAAAAAGCACTTTGAAATCTAGCTCTGCGAAAAGTCTTGGGGCTGTGCAAAAGGGCATGGGTCTGGCGAAATTCGGCAGTATCGATCAGGCCAGAAAGTCAGCGTAGATGAAAAAAAACAGCGCACGATCTTCTACTTTATTGTGAGACTAAGCGTCTCATACAGCCAGGAAAATAAAGACCTCAAGGTATCACAGTGTTGTCCTATGAATACCGTGTGTTTGTACTGTTAGCTGCTGTTCATTAACGATACGGGAATGTTTTTTGTCTCCAACGCACAAATGAAAAAGTCCGGTTATCAGAACGCACACGTAGTACATTCACGTTTTAGCAAGACTGCGATTTGTCAGGGCACGGGTTGGTGCTATGAAGGCTATGGTTTCCCAACTCTCCATCCCGTACTTTGGCCCTTTCTTGTATTAATGAATTCATTCACGGCCGTGTACTGTTGTAATCTGGTAGATCAGTATACGCCAGTAAAGTGCGATATTAAAAACCTTACAAACTTTTAAGAAGAAATATGTGTGCTACAGTAGAGCACAGATACGGCTGGCGAGCACATCAAAATGATCTCTGATCCTTTTTGCGAGACACGTATCACCAAAAGTATGTCCTTGTAAAACTGAACGTGTCTGTATTTGTATCTACATAATGCGTTCAAAATTAATTAAGTCCGGCAAATTTGTGTGCAAATACGTATACACGTCAGCTATTAACGTTGTGTAAATTATCGATTTTATTTACACTATAGATTTTATTGCATGGATTTATTGTGTGCATACGTCATAGAATAACTTACGGTGTTTACTTCAGTAAGAAAAGTTGCAGAGTTCTTCAAAGTCTTCATATTGGTGATGCACAACCCCCTTCAAAAAACACGAAACTATATACTGACATTCTTAAGAACAAGAAGCTCTATTTAGAATAACATCCACGTGCCCATAAATCAGGAAATTGCTCGGTTTAGGTTAGGAAAACGTGCTCTTTTCTAGCAGTTGTTACTGTGTACTAATCTTAATTCAAGAATTAACCATCTAGCGCTCACGACTTAGATAGCGGTGAACCTCCGTTCTTATCACTTCATCTTAGATAAGGAAACAAAGAAAAAAAATTGTAATGTACACAGACGTAACTGGATTTTCATTCTTTATCACACTGTACACATTACACCAGAAGACGCATCCTGTTCTTCAAAATCACTTCATAATTCATGGTTCTTATGAAATCTTAGTGAAATTTACAATTAAAACAATTTAAATGGTATTTTTTATGCTTCAAACTCGATATAGGCCAAAGTGCTATAGCATTGGCAGAGAAAGAGTTAAATTGATTTTGTGTGTGGGTACACATGTATATACTACTTTTACATTTTCCTAAAACAAGAATACTGTCTAATTTTCTGTAATTTGTCATTAAATAGTCGGATCTCCATATCATAACAACTTAACCACTGTGGCACAGTACAAGCCTTCCTGAGACTATTTTAAAGCTACCTACAATTTGACGCATGTCTCTCAGAAGCGGGCTATCTGCTCGTACATTTGTATATTCTGGGTCATGTAGTTCAGTAGTGGACCAGAAAATATTCTACTTCTTACTCAAACGTCTGGGTTTTTTTTTTTTAAACGACAGAATGCTACAAAAAATATTGTTAAAAACCGAAAGAAATTATTTACATTGCCGTACAGAACGCCCGAGGGACTACGGCATATATATAATTTTAGTTTCATGTAAAAGCCTAAATGGGATTTGTCCAAAAGAAAAACGCATATGAATTATAGTCTTGAATTTTCTCGCTGTGTATTGTAGTCATGTATCTTGAGTATTAATTATCTTTCATCCCTATTTTTTTATTTCAAGGGCATTTTAAAGTAATACTAACGTATATTCCACAATAACGAGGAAAAAACGTGTTTATGCACATTTTGAGAGACTACGGGGATGCAGAAGTCAGATTTGGCAAATGGCAGTTCGCGCTGCCTGACATCGCCTCCACATTGAAGACGCGCCGTCTGCCACAGGCTCCTCTCAACAAGACGATGTTTCGGGGGGGAAAAAGGTCGGTTTTTAAAACAAGCACCCATGACCGGAGAGGCAGGAGAGACCTTTGATCGAAACCTGAAATATTTCAATAGCGAAATATCTTCAGCCGTGTCCAGTTCAGAAAATATTTTGTGATCCATGAGTAATGCATTCCTATCTTGTTAGACAAAGCAATCTCTGAAATGAATTGTCTTTTCTGAACAAAAAATGACCCTTCTGTATAACAAAGTGTTAAAGCCGACCAAGAACACAAAACGAAAGCTCCTTAGGTGTAAGTATTCGTCCTGTGGTGAAACGAGGGCAATAATCTAAGCTTATTTTCGAGATCAGATCCCGCTGTACAAGGCGGGCTGCTCGCGCCTTCAGTGGCCGGGTATGGCGACACTTTCGTCGGACTAGAAACTGTAAACATATCGCAGTCGACAGGAACCGCCTGAAAATCCACGGAACAACTGATTTAATCCAAGAAATTGCCCCCCAAAACTCAATTTTGAGTAATTCTGAATATTGAACACCAGGCCCTAATTAAAATTAAGAATTTTAATATAAAATATTGATGTTGCTTATCATTAATAACTCAGCTTCGTTCTTGATTTCAAGTTCTGTGAAAAAAGCACTATGCAAAGGTTCAAAACGTGATATAATAATTCGCTTTTCTGTTGGATATAATTATTAATCGGACAGCAATAAACCTACAAAAATTCACTATGGCTTTATTCAATTGTAGCAATAACATAAAATAACATAAATAACGCGAGGTGAGATCGAACGTAAATATAATTTTTAATTGAATGCGATTCTATACATGTACTCTCAGTTGAAATAACATTCGAATCGTATGATTAGATATTTCAAATACATTGTTATTGCTCGACACATTAATACAGAAAAATAATATTTTCACCTCGAAGTAAATTGCTAGGACCACAACGGATTCGGGCGATTCAATAAATATATTCCAATGTGTTGTGTTTAAAACCTATTCAACGTTTTATTTAGCAACAATAGTTCTAGCACGACACCAGAAATGAACAATTAAAAAATAATAACATCGCCATCATCACATATTTTAAGCACAAAACATGTTTTGTATGTGTTTCTCCTTCATATATATGATAACAATCAATAAATGCCAGATTTAAAATCAAGTATTTTAGCAAAAGCGTTAGATACCCTGTTAAATGTTTCCCCAAGAATGATTATCTATAATGAAAATTGCAGTACTGTAAAAACAGCCAGCAGAACAAAAGGTTTATTTATACACATATTCGGAAATATACAATAAACAAAGTACTTACTGGTAAGTTATTCCTTGCATAACAATAAGTGATTGCAATTTAGTAAAATAATATATTTGCTTTAAAAAAAAGAAGAAAAGGAATTAAGAAGCTGTATAAATCATGTGGAAATGGTTACATCCTAGTGTGCTGTTTGCTGTATGCAGTTGTAATATACTGTACAGATGCACCGGAGTTCGAGCTTCTAGTGAAACGCAGCTCGAGCCTCAGAACAGCCACTCTCTTTCCTTGTGCCCTGATCTGCTCGTGCCACTCAACTCAGGAGGGGGGTAAACACGCTCGCCCATTGGCCGGTTCCCCGCATCCTAATGAGCTCGTGCCGGTCGCCTAGGGGTAAACACGCACCCCGATTGGCTGTTGCGCTGGTCCAATGGCGGAGCTGCTGGAGTAACTAAACAAAACGGCGGGCGCCTGATTCAAGCTTTCCTACTGCGCAGCATGCCGTGCGCAACTTGCACGGCGAAGTGGGGTATTCGTGGGACGTTCATGAGTGGTAAAAAGGGCTTTGTACTGTGTTTTTTTTTATCTCGAGCGAGTCGGTGACACCAGAGGAGAGAAAAAAAGATTTTTCACTTTATTACTTTTTTTATTATTCATCAAAAATTTAGAGGCAGCTTTCGATTAATCCCGTGCCTGTCGTTTCGTGAGCAGATCGCCTCCTGATCAGATTTAAAGTCGCACAGCGTCGTCAGCATTGCGACGTTGCTTTGGCTAAAACAAAGTGCCTTGCATGATGTCATCTGCTTATGTAAAGGATGAACATAAATTATTGAGTTTTAATTTATTTTAGCCTGTACATGTTATTCGATGGAAGATTTCCAACATACGTGCTCAGTGTTTAAAAACTATATTTTCTTTTTACACAGTTAAGACATTTTGTTCCCTGACACGTTTTGTCTTGAAATGCAAGTTTTTCTTTAGTTTACAAGCTCGGCAGCTGGGAAGGGCTCCTTTCCCCCACTGCTGTTGTTTCAACCAGTTTTAAACGACGCGACATAAAAGTGGGCCGAACTTTTTAAATAAACGTAGGAATTCTAAAGAATGACTAGGGGAGATGTAACAGAAGCACATAAAGGATTTCAAAAATGAATCTGTAGGCCTTGTGTTCAACTCCTTATGTGTAGGCAATGTAGGTACACGCAGGGTTCGCTTACCAGTCCTGTCTTAAGAAACAAAACTTAAAACTGGAGCTGCCAGCAAAGGTGAAGGCAGAAATAGTTCAAAACACTATTGAGTTTGCCTCTTCAGTTGTGTTGAGCTTTCATTCCCACAGATAAGAGTTTAACAGACCTCAGTGCCGTTCAGTCTTAGTCATAACAATAATCTCTACGACTGTACTAACAAAGGATGAGTCTATTTTAAGTAGGCAGTTCAGAGAGACTGCTGACTGTACAGCAGAAGCTGACTGAGAGAGGGAGACCGCGGAGCTGTTTAAGGAGTTTCAGCTCCTCTAGCGGGTGAGTGTGGAAGGAACAGGGCAGATCCTTTACAGCGGGATTCCCTGCTCTTGGGGTAACTGAGTAACCCCCACCCTCGAAAAAAAAACAGGGGTCTATACCATGACCCCATAACCTACATCCATCGGTTAGCTGCTTGATAGCATGACAAGAATTCAAGAGTATTCTGGCAAACCAGTGAAGAGAACCAATTAATGTGAACTCCGAGACGTGCTACAGAAATGAGCAGCATTTACAGGGAATGATCAGTTTGTTATACTAAAAGGAACAAGTTAACAGAAAACAATACGCGCTTCTCCCAACTTCCCCTTCGCTTAACCAAAGTTCTGAAAATCCAGTGTTTCGGTTCCTCTGTCCCGATACGACTACCAACAGCTGCCAACACCATAAAACACAATGTGAATCATTTGAGTAATGTTTATAATCATGTTTTTTTATTTTTTTCCTGTTTTGACTTTCCAACAATACCGTTTTCAGTTCGCATATATTGTAACATATTGTATATATTGTAACAAGTAACAAAATGTGTAAGAACGTACAAATCAAACACGCACATGAGATTCACTACCATTTTCTAACCAGATGTATCCCGGATAAGCAGGAATCAATATTTGCATTTGATAGCTTTTAAAGGACGCATAATCGAATTAATATGCAAGCTCTAGGTTTCTTTAAATAGATGTATTTTGCGGAGGCACATAAATAGTTAAAGCTTTTAGATTCGCTCAATGTGCCACCTCTGATTGGCTGGCGCGCTGCCAGATCACTGTCAATCACAGAGTGTAAACAAGGCTCTGATTGGCTGCTGGCCAGTCCGCACTGGGCTGCCTGAAAAAAGCAATTACTGGCCCTGCGGTTTCAAGGCGGCCCGGGGTTGGCTGATGAAAGGAGATAAGGAGGAGCTGTTTCAAGGCGTCCCTTAGGCGAAACCCGTTGGCCCCAGAGCCAAAAGAGAGCCAGCAATGACTAAATCAAAGAGAATACGGTAAAAAGGGGGGAAATTACACGTTGTATTAAAATATGGAGGCTAGCTTTACGGATTAACGGACGCAACAACATCGGCGGCAGCGGCAGTGGCGGCGTTTTAGGATGAAACTGGCTCGGTCAGCATGGAGTGTAAGATTGACCTGTGCGGAACAGGACGAACTGCAAAAGTTAGCTGTTGGAAAGTGCAACGTCTGCCTGAGCCCCAGCCAGACGGAGAAACCCCTGCACGGTGATCGTGGATGGCTTCCGTTTTTTTTTTTAAATCGCGGACGTTTGTATTTACCTGCGACTGAAATACGACTGATGGTTTTTTTTTTTAAATCGTTCGATCCAGAAAGTATAAGAAACGGTTGTGCATTTTTTTAAAAAAGTACCGGACAGCGTTACTACGGTGTTATTTTATTTCTTCCCCCCTCGTCTGCAAACCGGAAGAGTTGTTTTAAGCCTTAGAGTGTGTCTCAATGTAACACTGTGCGTTGTAAAAGACTCATTTTCATGAATGGAGTTCGGCGAAGGTGAATCTCTTTAAACATTTGTCACGGATTGCGGAGAATAAGTGGATCAGTTGCATGGTGATTGTTTAGATTATGTACAAAACGTTATGTGCATTGCTTATTCGTGTTTTCCTTTTTTTTACCTTATTGTCACTGTATACCTGTGCCTTTTAGTTACAATGTAATTTTTGTGTATTATTTATATTTCGCACGTATGCGACAATACTGACGGAAGGGTAATGCGTAGCCTTGTCATGCAAGTCATGTATACCATGGAGAGAACAATTTAAGTAACTGTAGTTTTTTGTGTGTGTTACAGCGAAGAACGTGATGTATTCGTGTTAAAAGATGTACCTGAAATTATTTGTTAGTTGTTTAAAGCGCTCCCATTTAAACCAGATTGAAGTGTCCTGTTTTTTAGTGCACAATTAAAACTACTAAAACTGTCGAGAATGTCGAAGACTATAAACGCAGTTCTTTATTTTTTTTTGTTTAAAATCATGGTGGTTTAAATTAACTGATGTCTGAACTATGGTACGGAACATTAAAACGTATGTCTTTTGTTTTGTCCACGCTAAATGTTTCCGTTTTAAGTTGTCAGCTCATTCTGATATATTGTAGTGTCGCGTTTCTTTTGATGTTTCATAATTCGTTCAGTTTTACTTGGCGAAAAGGAAGAGGTTGGGGAGTCTCGAGCCCGCTTTGATAATTATTAAAGAAATTTACATTCAGTCCGAAAGGTAACCGCGCGGCACTGGGTTGTTTTTGACTGCATTCGACTCCTATCGGAGTTTAGAAATGTGATGTACCCCGTATATTCAATGATTTCAAGAGTCAGTGTAGGTTAATAGATTACTTTTTTCTCTCGTCTACCTCAGACCAGAGCAAAGTATCCCCTTGTTCAGCGTGGCTCTGCAGTTGAAAATAAAATGAACTCTCTAACCTCCCAATACTTTCTTGAGTTTTTTTAAAATAAATTTCGAAACTGTTTCACTTTGAGACCGGTTGTAGTTCGCAGTTGACCGACCCACACGACTTATTTTATCTGTCTGAAAAGATGCCTTCATGTTTTAACGTTACATGAAACTACTCTGTACGCGATTTAGCCCTGTTGAGAAAGACACCCATGTCAGACGAACAGTTCTGACATATACATCTGGCCTTGGTCTAAATGATAATCCTTGAATTCAAAGTGTATATAATTTCCTTACCCACTTAAGGTGTGTATATATTAATAGTTGCCTTGCATTCATTTTGCTAGGGTCATGACCTCTGGCGCCCTATTACTGCCAGCGCCCACACACGCATTCGGACTGGTGCTCGGGGTTACCCCAAAAACAAGGTAGTAGATTTGATACGTAATGTGGTCCGTGTATTTTTAAAGATACGCTTCTGCTTGTCAGGCGAGGAAGCAGGGAGCAATGTTAAATTTATTTCATCGTGGGTAGTATAGTGTTACACTAATAAAAAAAATAATCAGGCACTATTCGTAATTAATGATAGTACATCAATAAAACGACTCTTTAAGCGTCAACGTACAACGTGCCTAAATACAGTATGTATAAGCCTTTCGCTATAAAAATCACGCTTCTATATAACGTTTTTGTCATGTTTCTATGTTGTTTTAATCATTGATTTAAAAAACAATATAGAAACTACAAAAACATCGGTAAGTAAGAAAAAAATGAGCAACGTTAACACTGCTATTTTATAATTTCTGCATAAGGACTTCGTGGATGCTTGTGAAATACGTATTTGTAGTTTAGACCGATTAAAAATGTCTGAGGTCGAAACTACAAACTACCCTGGTATCCACTCACAAGCGTCGTCTGATCTTACAGACGGGTGTAATCACATATTTCGCAAAAACACAGGATTTGAAATTTAGAATTCGCCAACAACAACAAAAAAAAAAACCTTTCCGCGAACTGTCTCAGCTTTCTGCAAAGGCCAAATCCTCGTACACTTCATTTATTACAGTACCAGCGAACTGCTCAGCTCTTGCCTAGACTAATGCTAGCAGTACAATGAGAAATTCCAGCCCGTCTCTCGCAAATAATAAAAAACTTATGTAACACGCAGCTTCCCTTGTATATTGAGTGACTACCGAAATCCTTCAATTGCTTAAATTATGTTTATGGGTTCCTCCGCTCATTGTGAAGGGGGGGTGAGTGGACCTACGTGTACAGAAAGCACAACAGACTCACACACGAGCGCCTTTCTCTCGCTCGGGCTCCTGGTCCGTGTGCCTGCAAACTGCC